ACATCCCAGTTTTAGTTCTGCCCTCCTTTAACCTGGGCAGTTAGGGACCGTCGTGACGTTGTAACCCCGCCGAAAACAGTCTTATGTAAATGACAGTGAGTGGTTTGCTGGACTGTAAACATAGAATAAAAAGAACCGCACTAAAATCCTGGTTCGTCCACGTTGAATTGTCAATGAGATTTCGCAATAGTTTATTCCTAATCGTCCATTATTTTTTAGCCCGGGCCTTCAATGCCGGATAATCCTTCTACTGTCGTGCCACATGCGTAGGAGTAATTGTATGTTTTCAAAATAGATTGACTCTTCCTTGCGGAAGGCTGCAGTGCAACCGAGACAGCTATGAAACATGTGAAACACCGCTTGAGTGCTTCCCTGGGATGGCACTGTTAATCCGCTGTCAACCAATGCATGTCTCGGTTTCAAGAAGATGAGTCTTTCACTTTGCAGACAGCAGCACGTGTGATCGTTGCATTACAGTTTGTGTTTCTTCTGGTACCCAAATTTGATCAATATAATCGATCTCTGTGAAGTCATGGCAAATGTGTCGTAATTTTTGTGTGATTTCACTGGTTCATTTGATTGTTGTTGCGTGTTTTGCAACAGTGCATAAAGAGAACATGAGTGGATTGATTATTATCACCACTGAGCACCCTTTGGAACTAGATTCTTCAACGGAGCTTTTCCGTTCAACCTTGCTCTCTGCCTCATAAATGATCAACTTTACTAGTTCAATACGGTTGTTCCTTTTTTTTTTGCACGGCAGCCATACCGATCACGGGAACACAAGTGATAAAGTGCTACCGCCGTATTTTACAGTTATTAGTTGTTAATCATATTGCGACGAATTAATATTCTGGTTGGGGACTTACAACTACCTGCCTGTGAAATACGGACTTCATGTAATTGTCAGGCGTCCATTATCCAGTTCCTTAAGTTTTTTCGGGTTCAAAACTTGTTCAAAGTAAGAGACGTCTTTGAAATCGCGCCTCTTGCTTCCAAGTTTGACTATTATCCGATACAATCATGTAGGTCACTTTATTAGCTGTAAGCGGTGTACCAAGGGTACGTTGTTTTAAGCTGCTACAGTTCCGGCCACCGAAAAATGACAGACCAGGAGGTATATAGTCAGGTATTAAAAGCGATGACATAATCATTTAGTTGGTATTGAGTGAAACCGGTCATTTGGAGAAGCGGGAATCTACGCAGTCAACGCGGTGACTCTGATTTAAGGGGTGTCACTGATTACTTGGCCGAGCTTCATCCGCCAGTGTCATTCACCATTGATGCTCTGAGTCCCAGTGCTCTTGCCCTAGGAGGTGGCAGTTGCCAACCCGACTGAGTTTACTGGTTTATGCTCCCATGGTTTGTTGTCCGGTCGTAGACTGTTTTTATGTCGAGACAATTAGGGAATTCAGATTGCACCTCTTTTCTGTGTTGTCATTTCGATGTGTTACTATCGTGCCACCTGCAGGGTGTACGAGAGTCAAACTGTTGCCAGATCTAGGCACCAGCACATACAGCTTTTGTCCAACCCGTTAGCTATTTCATATTGTGATACCTATCTGGCTGTTCATTGATTTGCATAACACAGCAGGACATATTTTGGCTTATTGGCTCTTCGTTCCGTCCCATTAGTTGCATGGCAAAACAACTCTTTTTTACTATTTAAAAAGAAATACAGCGGCGAACGCATTCGATCGGTATGTGAACCAGTCATATCTATTTCTTCCCTCAAGGCAAGCTGACGGTTTAGCCAAGGGTTTTTGTGTGCCCAAGCTCGTTTGATAATTATCATTGTAGCCTTGCTGTACGCTAACGGTTCCACACAACTGGCTCTCCCGAATGGTCTTTCGGGTTGGGATTATTAGTCCCCATTGTTCATTCAGTCGTGTGTCTAATGGTTAGGATGACATGGTGTTCCCTGTCCGAATTCCTCTAACACATTGCGAATGCATGTTCCTTGTATGGGGAACCGATGTTTTTGGTCAGTGTGTGCGCGCCACTGTTGATGTGTTTCGATACTGTTGGTATCGAGCGCATTTCTGGAACCAGCATTGTGGAGGCGATACTCCCCGTCCCATTTCATTTCCTGTCACAGCACCAACTGGTGAAGCTCCAACTCACCTTTTAATGTCCTAAAGTTGATGAGTGCGATAACGGCTAGGCTAGCGGTGATATCTGCCGACATCCTGCTTTTTCAGGACAGGTCGTCAGCTAACTTTTTTCATCTATCTGTGATGAGTTCGCCATTACTTAGCACCGCGTTTTGGCTTCCTTGAAACGACCCTAGTCCTGTTTCAAGAGTCTTTAGTCTGTATCACTTTCGATACAACCTGGATATTTTCACTGCCTTTTACGGGTGGATTTTATTTCCACAGATGCAAACAGGTGTATATTTTATTTTTGACTTCTCATTGTTGTTTTCGTCAGCAACAAAATTAATTGCACAAAACGTGTTTTTGTGTTGTGTGCATGGTTCACACCCGGTGAGTGCACCGAGACGTGTATCATTTTCGCACAACCAGTGTGACATTTTCGTGGTATCCGTCAAGACTCGCCTACGTGCAGTCGATTGCAGGCAATTCAATCGATGCAGTATACTTCAAAAAATTTAAGTTTTATATTTCGGTGGGCTATGACCATGCTTTTTTCAGGTGGCATGGCAGCTAGGCACTGAAAGGATGTTACAGTCGAATGATACCATGCTTTTTCAGGTGGCATGGCAGCTAGGCACTGAAAGGATGTTACAGTCGAATGATAACAATAATATATAAAATGACTATGAAATTTATTCACATTTTGAGGCTTTATGAGTTCAATTATTGTTGAAGTTGATCACTTACGAAAAATCCGCAGAAATCGGCTAGGTTTCCCACCACCAGTGATTGACTTACGTGCGCTTTCACCACGCCAGATATTGATTCATTGTTGTTTTGCTTTTGAGTGTAATTCACTACCTTAAGCCACGATTTCGAACTTTTATCTGTGTTCCTCAGTTCGCTGTATGCCTGGTTACAACAGATTGACTGCACATCCATTAGTAAGTCAGTGAAATCCCCAGGCAGATGCCTGAAGATGCACATCTCCACCATCCCTTTACTATGGAATGTCGGAATCAATCTATTTATAAACAATATCACGCTGTTGGTGACCTCTATTCAGCTGTTTTTCTTCAGTTTTCCAGGTAAATACTGCGAACAAACGTAATGACAACACAGTGTCCAGTTGAACCGTGACTGGCTGAAGTCTATCGCCCAATGATTTCTGTTTAGCTGGATAGATCTGAATGATGAACATGACAAGTTACTTTCGCGATAATTGTTTTGTTAATGGCAACAACCGGCCTAGGTGGAAATGTTGTCGGCTTGGTTGCGTCGCACACACTTGGGCTGTAACGTCTTCTTGAGCTTTGGAAATGGTCTTGATCGGGAGTTCGCAAGGGTAGTTTCATTTACAGTTTGTACATGCTCGCCTGTCAGTGCCATAGCTCGTTTTCAGCACACGCAATGTCCTTTTATGCACCTTTATTTATATAATTTTGCACTTTTATCATCCAGGACACAGAACTTTTGGTGTCTCATCTTCGAACGGGTAATCCTTGCCCCGGCGATGTTGCATTTGTTGACCTGGCCTCTGCATATCCAACTCCTTCCCCAGTCCCAACCGACTTTGAGACACACCGCGAAAAATCAGGCACAATGAGCATGTATGCCACCCCACATTTACCGTCCAATTTCTATCCGTCAGTCAGCGCCGCAGATTTTGCAGCACTGAAAGAGGCCGGCCTGGTTAAAACAAAAACCGATGAACCAGTCTATTCAGGAACCAGTTCCCTCTACTCCACTGTTTCCGCCATCATCACAAACGGGACTGCTCGTCGGCCAAGTGTTGCCACGTCCGGTGTACACTCTCCACCACACACCTCTGGTATCTTACGTCGACTGTTCTCCCGTCGCAGTCACGTAAGTTTCTTGTATGTCCTTTTAGTACGCTACTGAAAAAAAAACAGAAAAACGCACCATTTACTTTAGTACACAGGTGTTCACGACGCCGGGCGTACAAACAGTTCGAATGCACTCTGACTGTGTAATGTAATGAAAAGTATCTGAACATTCGCCATTATCCATGAAGTAATTGAAAAAATGGTTTACTCAGACCGACTGAACAGTTACAGACTATTGGACAGGGGAGCAAAACTCACATATGCATCTTGTTTGTAAAACTGAATATCCATCCTCTCCTTGAACGCGTCTTTCTGAACGTCCTGGATATTCACTAACTGTTACTCACTTGCAAGCAAATGCTACAGAGCGACTCCACAAATTCCGTAATAGATCTCACTTTTCAAGAGACAAAGCGGATTTACGAGAAAACATACCACGCGCACGCCTCCCCCATCAGTAGTATCACCGCTACACCCTGGTTGTTCGGCACTAACATAACTTGCCAACAAACCTGGGTTGTTTCGTTTTTTGCCCGTTTGTTAAAAAATTAAGTATTTGAACTCGGAGGACAAAACATATTCACTCATAGCAATCTCGTCGTCGTCTAGTTCATGATGAAATGTGGGAATTCCCTGGAAAATTGTATATTTTTAGTGGTGTTATTCCTATGGCGTAGTCGATTCTCCATAAGAGTGCGTTCGAACTCGAACTACCAGGCTGTCTCGTGCAAAACGAGTGGGTTTCTACACCACATGGTACACTCTGTAACTATCGTACGGTATGTACCAGGTAACAACGCTCTGTATTTTGTCGACCACTTTTTGGCATCTTATGTTAAAATGTCGAATGGTATTTAGGTAATCTCAGTGAATTCAAAGTGTCCCGCATGCACTATGTCTAAGCTGGGGTGATCACATTATCCTAGTCCTCGTGCTTTACATTTCCTATCCGTTGTGTCGGTGGAGTGCAACTGGCTCACGTGTCACCATCATCTTTAGACTTTCGTTGGTACATTTTTTCTGTGAGCACGAAGGTTGGTTTTAGTTTCACGCAAAATCGACGGAAATTGTACGACTGTGTCCTAGTTGACCAATAACTAGAACACTCTCTGTCGTTCCTGCAAGTCAGTCTGGTACAAAATGTACCTTCCTTTCCTGACATTAGTGATCTGTTATGACCCATTGGTAGTCTGCGTTTCGTTTGTGTGCCCACCTATTCCTTTCTAGGGAAGAAAGATTGAAGCTTTTTTGCGGGCCGAGTTTTTTTCCATGTCCATTTATGAATTCAAGAAAATTGCAAGAACTGTAGCTTTCTCATTGTTTTATTCAGCAGAACTAGGTCAATCTTTAGCTAGAAAGTAACTGAAGAAAAACATAGTGTGAGCCAAAGCCCATTATTTTTTGTGAAGTGATTCCCTTTTCAAACCAAAACAACCTGCAGCATGCTCTGTTCTTGTCATTTTACTGAACCCTGATCATCATCATCATCGTTGTCAGCTGTAAGGACCGCGTACTTGTCGTACAGCCTAGGAAAGTTAGCAAACTCACCGATGATTTGGAGGGGATGGGGTAGATAGCTGCGGATTGGAAACGGCAGCTGATAAATTGGCGCGTAAACACGGCATTGTCAGTGGACTGTCAAGTGGGGGAATTGGGAAGGAAGCTTTGCATTGAAGGCAATAACTTTGATGCACGAGTGCCATTGAGGGCACGACTGGGCCATGTTGGACAGTATTTCCAACCGTTGATATGGCCCTTCTCGGGGTCCCCATCCAGGTAGATGGTAATGACCAGCGCAGCTAAGTTTGCTGGTACTGGCTTTTATACCTCGCTGCCAAGCCATTGTTTGACCGTCTCCGGCTCGCCCGGTGTTGAACACTGATGAAAGAAAAGAAAGCGTTAAGCTGTAGCACCCTTCCGGTACCTAGCTGCCATGCCACCCGAAGGAAGCATGAGGGCTGGGATACTGCTAGGTTGCCCAAGCCTAGACCGGAGAAGTTGAGAGGCAGAAGTCAGATTCGAACCACAGACCTTTCGGTCAGTAAATTCGCGCTCTAACCACTTGGGCCATCTTGCCCCCTGAACACGGGTGCTGTCGGTGATGATGATTATGATGATGATACGAAAAGACCTCTTCAAGGAAGTCGGTCGACTGGCATACGCAGCACATGGCCAAGCCAGCGCAACCGAAGCAGTGTGATCAGTTCATCTATCGAGGATGAGTCATTTCTTCCGAAAACCATTCTACGTACTTCAGAGTTGCCGATCCGGTGTTCTCACCAGACTCGGGCAATGCTCCGAAGACATCGGCGGTCAAACACTGAGTTTTTTGATGTCCTCAGCGCGCAACGGCCAGGTTGCTGATCCGTATGGAGCGCACTGCAGCATTGTAAACTCGACCCGTGACGGATAAGCTGATCATAATTTATTCAGTAGAAGTTCTGTTTCTGTTGACTTCCCTTAAGGGTGAGACATAGTTCTACAAGCACTCCGAGACGGACTCATCAATTTCACGAATTGTTTGTCTAGAAAACAAGGATTCCTGTCGTTTGTATCGTTTGGCCTGGTGATTGCGAAGTCTCTGTTTAGTCAGTTGGGCTTAGACCCCGTACACGTTAGTTGTTTTCTGTTTCTTTACAATTCTATGGTGCCGAATGCATAATATGTCCTCTTATGCTTCGGAAATTTGTGTAGCATCCCGAAGAAATCATGCGTTCTTTGGGAAAGCGCATTCGAGTAGATTCATGAATGTTCCAGCATTCTTATCCCCATATACTTCGTTTTTCCACTTGGATTTTTCTCATTCTCGGTGTCTTTTATCTGCTTGAATCTCATTCCTCTCATTTTAAGGATGTTTCTGTCATTTTCAATGAAATATTCTTCACTGGTATTTCTTGTTAGCAAATAGCTAATGGCCACTCTGATAACTGTTTTTGTTATTGGGACTGTTGATCGTTTCTCCAAGCTCTAAACCGTGGAATAATGACCCAGCCAACTCTATCCTGATTTATTTTAGTTTTGTGGGCTGATCAGAATTAGTCACGTGACAACCTGCGCGTCAATAAACGGGGTGACCGCTTGAGCGGTTTGTTTATACACTGATGGTCACCTCAATCTGTCTTTCAATGAATATATTTAGCTTGTTTCTCGCTACGGCAAATTTGATGAACAATCTACAGCGAATTTATTCATCTTAACCCTAGATTTGGACAGCCTTATAAGTGATTATCGTTCAAACTACTGCGCACCGTTGACCGGAGAGTACACCCAGATTTGGACATCTTGCTTTGGCTTGATGCCTGTGTTCACCGTAGTTTTCTTAAGTGATAGACTAGTTTCCTCATTAATCATCCCATCTCTCTCACTTTATGTGACTTAAGTTCCCGGAACCGGTCCCTTGGAAAATCGACTCTCCTAAGGCTGTCTCACAGGGTGACCGCTACCGGTCAGACGCACACGTCTCTATCGGGTATACCAACGAACACTGTCCCTTCCGATTGAGCGCCGCACTTGTACGTTCCATCTGGGAACCACCCACTTATGCTGTACTGAGGGCAATAAAACCTCTCCGCCTATCCGATGCCAAAGGATTTTGGCCTTCAACTGTCCCTCTCCACTGACTAGCGTATAGGTATGGTAATTCAAGACTTCCGTCACTGGGGACGAATACGCCTATAGGTCAGTACCAGAATATTCCTTCAGTGGACGGATAAGCAGTCGTTCTATTTCCGCCAAGTAGGTTTTCAGTGATATGTTGATAAGCAGCTGCTGGTGAGAAACGGCACTCGGGGGACGGTGAATCGCTTGTAATAGGTATTGCTCCGGTTAGAGCGGGAATGGGTAAAGTACCATTTGATTTGTCGTTACATGTCGCTCTCACCCTGGTGCGGCCCAAAGACCTCGTGAACTCTCCCCAGTCCCTCCACCCGAAGGAAATTAGTGCTCTATATCGCTGCATACCTCCTTCGGAGTACTTCCTCGGTTGACGAATCTGAAAAACGTCATGAGAAATCAGTGAATGGACCGTTAGTTATCCGTTTCATTGTGTATCATACGGGTCTCCAATCATATCCCCTTCATGAGATTGAGATGGACCAACGTATTCGAGACTGCTTGTGATGAAAAATTTATCTGGATTTGCTCTCGCGACTTTCGGGTCCATTATTATTCGTCCATCTAGGAGTACTGAGCATGACCTAAAACCCATGAATTTACGGTAGTTGTAGCGCACAAGGTCTAGTATTTTTGTTGTATGGCTTCTGGAAGATAAGAAGCGTCCATTTGACCTTCAGTTTCGTGACATTGTTTAGTAAGGTTTTGTGTTACTGGGTAATCACCTGGAAGAGTCAGATTTGGATTACTGGGTCAACCGTTTCGCGCAGAAAAGCGTTGAGCAATCTTAGACGCATCTTTGGACGACAGTTTGTTTTGTCACCATGTAATTTCTGTTTTCGAGTTTATCATTGCTAAGCAGCGCGGATAAGTCTACATCTGAGCACACTGCGGACTGGAGCGGTTTGCTTCACTCGATTTGTCGAGCTGCAGAGCAGTGTTATATTTTCCAACCATTTTATTTCATGGACATGATCTGAATACGATAAGCTAGGGTGCTGCTTGTCATGAAGAATGGAACGAAATCACTGTCTGTCAGAAAGGGCGCTATTGTGGCAATTGAAACTATGGCGTTCTTTTTAGTTCTTTTTTAGTTCCACGTGTGTAGCTTTGGGATAAAGTTTTTTTGTAGCTAGTTTGGGACAGTAGTATCCCTTGTACATTTCCATGGAGGAATTTTCAACCCGAAATTTGACATTTACCACAGATTTGATACACTGATTCAAACACGGAAAAGTGTCACTAATGCAGGAAAGAATCCATGGCAGCGGTTCGGATAAGGAGACGTTGTGCATTAAAATGAGGTTCACCAGTTATTTGACAATTCAAGGGATTATGCAGTTGAAATACGTGATAAAAATTCAGACGTTGGCACATTCTGAGATTACTCTAACTGTGAGGTGCATT